TTCCGCCGCAGCACCGTGGATTGCCCTCGACTCTACAGCCTTGCTGTAACCTGCCTGGTCGGGCAAGGGAAACCATCTCAGCCCTGCTGCTCCGTGCGTTTATTTTAATTTTTTAATTTTTGCATTATTTTTTTAAAAAATTGCTTCTTTTTACATATTTTGGTTTTGCATATTTTTTTATTTTGCATAATTTAAAATTTGCTAATTTTAAATGTGCGTGGTTTAATTTTGCGTACTGTTAATTTTTTTCATATTTTTATTTTTTTGCGCATTGTTAATTTTTGCATTTTTGGGTTTTTTTTTTTTTTAATTTTTGGAGGTAGCCGCTGTTTGGTTTAACCCTGCCTCTCCTCCCGGTCCAGCCGAGGAAATACCCTCAGCCCCGGCCGGACTCTGCAGCTGCCTTCCCTCTTTATTTATCGCCAGTGAAAGGTTGAAGCTGGGACTTGCATGGCCGGATCCCGGCCCCGTGCAACGCTGCCTCAGGAGGGCATCGCCTTCCATGTCCTGCAAACCGGAAAACTCCCTGAAAGTGCTGGTGCGGCCGCAAGCCCACGGGGTGGGTGCTCAGCATCCTGCACGGGTGCTCAGCATTCCATGGGACCCCGCCTCGTCCCCCTCCTGCCGTCCATCCCCGCTGTCCCAGCCTGGTGATGGCTACGGCACCGACTTCTCCAGCAACGGGTCCCATCCTTCCTCATCTCGGATGATGACGGGTTTGTCAGAGATGAGCAAGGCGATGGGGACCAGCAGCTGGCACAGCTCCCCCCTTCCCTCCTCCGCCTCCTCCTCCTCCTCCTCGCCGGCCGGGTGGCCGGGGCAGCCGGTGCTGCCAGGTGGTGGAAATCCGGCCAGGCTCAGCACCTCCTGCCTCCGGTAGGCGAACGGCAGCTCCTTCTCGCAGCCCGGCAGGCACACCACCACCGGTTTTTCGGTTGCGGGGCCGGGCTGCGGCGTGCTGGGCCACGTGCCGGCGTCGGTCGTCTCCTTGCCGGGATTCGGCTCCGTTATCAGCAGCTCGGCCGGGCTGAACCTCTCCGAGGGCTCCAAAAAGCCTGGCTGGGGCTGGCCCTAGGGGTCGGATGTGTTTGGGGTGGGAACGTTCCGTGCCGGGGTCGTGCACGGGCGCCTGCTGGGG